ATGAGCATAAGCAGAAAACGAAGTGCAAAAAAACATTATCACTCCAATTTTATAAAAAATGAAAACAAAAAATGGCCCAACACAGGAGCATAACCAAAAAGGAAATGGAACAAACACTATCAGTCCAATTTAATAAAAAATGAAATGATTAAGCTTAAAAAACAAAATGGTTAGCAATATATATAAACACAAAACTGAAAAAGAAAAGAATTAAAAAAAACAATTATCGTACAAAAAATTTAACATCCTCTATGCAATTTTTTGAAATAGTCATTGAGAGATGAAAATTAGGTTTTTTTATATATTTCAAAATAGTAATAGTTTATAATTTGGAGATATGACATGTGGAGTATGTAAAAAAAAAAATCCTATTATTAATTTACTTTCTGTAATAAAATATATTAGGTAATTAAATGTATTATAATTCTCTTTTTTATCATTTTATGTAGAGCTATTTTTGTTACAAAAAAAATTAATATAAAAGGAGATGATGTGTAAATAAAATCACCCTTATTAGAATTAAATTCATTTAATCTATTGACATTGAAAATAAGGTGACCCAAAATATAAGCATGATTTTATGAGATCAATTTTTTAACCCATTGACCCTTTAAAATTCAAATGTCCACTTGCCAATTTCTTTGTTCTCATGCCCATTTATTTTATTTTATTTCATTTTCTGTGAAATAAAAGGTAAAAATGGACTGACATGTACGGACCCAATCCATAGCTAACATTTTATCCAATAACACCTATCTACCATTAAATGGCAAGGCCATATTGTCTCCATACCACATCACTGTTGATATATATATATATATATATATACATCCTGTTCTCCACATCTTAATAATTCCACGACTTCTAAATATTATAGATATATATTTGGGAGAATATATTAATAGACATCCTTTTCTGAAACTGACTTCTGCCCTAGGCTTGCAATGTTCTCCATACGGTTCTCTTTCTACCATATGCATGCAAGCAATTGCGATGAAACTGACTCGTGCACTACAAAATTATGTCAAAATATGGATCATCTACATACTCAACCACATCCTTAGATATCTAGCTGGAGGACCACAGCTTGCTATTGCTATAGGAGATATTGGGTCCCGCAATATCTATATATGTATGTATGTGTATGTATATATGTATGTATTGGGCCCCATATATATATTTATATACATTAAACGTCATTTATACGACAGTGCCACATGGGGAATACGTTACAATTGCGTGACTGGGGTAATGAGTTATGAAAGCCCTTGTAATAATGATTACTTAGCTAGGTCTTGTAAGTTATGAATTAAACAAACTGTTACCGTGGTAGAACTATAAATACGTATAAATACATCCCAGAATTTTGGGAACTTTTGGTCCATTATCCCATTTCTTTCTTTCTCCCGGGTGCGTAGTTATTTATTTATTTTTTATACTCTGATCTTTTAATTTTTATTTTCTTTTCAACTGAGTAATATATAGGGATTCAAACTCTAAAGCTCAATATTAAAGGTAGAGGTGAAGATGAAGATTTACCAACTGGAATTATGTCCATGAACAACTTATAATAATAAACTACTTGATAGTTTATAAATTTACCAAGCGCTACATTGTTCGATTTTTTTTTTTTTTTTTAAAGTTACTTGCCATTTTAATGCATCTTGATTTATATTTTGCCATCATCACTCATAGAAAATACATCCTAAAAAATACGTCACAATTAATACTGGTCATTGACATTTGAAATTGAATAACTCAAATCCCTTCTATTTTCAGAAGTTGGGTTACCTACGTTTTCTGGCGGACATTGTAATTGATCAACTGCTGCCTTTTGGATTCTTTCAAATGTGGGGAGATGGTGATGAAATTTGGATACAGTTCAAATTTGAAAAAAAAGACTCTTTTTTGCTATAACTATGGTTGGTTGGGACATGAAAAAAAAAAAAGAGGTGTAGATCTAACCTTATGTAGACTATCTCTCCATTGGGAAAGAAGGGTTTGAGTTACGTTTTTGGTTGAGAACTAATTGTGATATTAGATCGTGTTTTGCTCCAGAAGCGAGTAAGATGGCTATGGATGTTGAGACTTTATTAGAAGAGCAACGTGTGAGAATGAAAATTTAGACTTCAGTTCTATACGAAAGGAAATGTGTCAAGGGAAGAAGGAGGTTTACAATAAGGAGCAAGATGAAGCTGTGAATGTTCAGGGAGTTGATGACGCTCCGAGTGCTGTGACAGGGATGGAGAATGGTGTGGAGAAAGGGGTTGCTGTTCTAAATCCTCTGCGGAGTTCAGATGTGGAGCAAGGAGCTCCGACCATATTGAGCATTACTCTTCAAAATCCAAGGTTTTCGGATGATGAGGCCATAGAAGGTTTGAATGATGAGTTTGGGAAGGTGTGCTTAAAGGCAAAACTTCTGAGAACAAGACCGTTGTATCTGCAGAGGGTTAAGATACCCCATGAAAAGCTGTACAAATCTAGGAAACCTCACACTTTCCCTGAATTCACAACTATTCCTTAACTGAAAAATGAAGAGCAGAGGACAGCAGTCCTTCTTGAGATTCACTTATCGGATGTAAGGGACTCATATAAAGCTGTTCAGTCGTTGATTGGTGAACCGGTTTCTTTCGGCGATCTTATTAATCAAGCGGTGGGTTCTAAGAAGAGGAAGGCCCAAAATTTACTATATATTCCACCGCCGCCCACCAAACCAGATTCAGGGAGCTCTGCAGCGTAGGAGTTGATGGATGTTGGTTGTTCAAACGGTGTAGAACTTACGGTGACCCCATCTACTTTTAATGTTGGTATTAATTAGTACCAAATCAGTAAATGAGTCGTACTCAAAAAGGAGGAAAAAAGGATCCGCACCTCATAAGGGAGCTGAGAAGAAGTTAAGTGGTGGTAGGAACTCAAGGAAATAGTTGGTGGTCCTTAATGGTGATGAGTTGATAGAAGTTTTGGTGAACCAAGCGCAAAATTTAATCTCATCATTAGTTGTCATAATTTTTTTATTCAACTATCCAATTTATTATAACTACTGGATCAATATCTTATGACTAAAATAATAATATTTATTGATAAATAAATATTGAGGTAACGAATAAAATCACAATTGCGTAGTATATAGCAATATTATATGGTACATACTTAATGTGATTCTAGATCATGTATTTTCAAGCATAAGCGAAATAGAAACTGCAAAAAAATTCCATTCTCTCACATATAAGTAGTCGTATTTTTGCTAATCATATAAGTAGTAGTATTTTAATCTAGTACACTAGCCAGGTGATGCTTATCCCCATCAATTATTGGGATGCAGAAAGTTATACGACCGCTTCATCCGAAAAGACTAGGTTATGTTTCTTTACGGTTCATGCATGGTATAACACGTGGGATCTGTTTCCGCCAAAAGAAAAATAAGCGTCATTCAAATTTTTAATTCGAGTTGATATGTGATTTTATATAAAAACTTTTTTTATAATAAAAAAGTTAAATGTAACTGTTTTTGAGAATTTTTTACTATAATAAAACTTAAATCAGTAAAATAAACAGGACTAATAACACACATAGAATATATAGGTCCTATAAAAATGGCATATCAATATTATCCTGATCACCGAAGACTTATAGAAAAGGGCATATTTCAATTATCACGATCACTAATATTATTGTTTCTAATTTTCTGAAAGGTCATTTTTAAGGCGAATAAATTTTCAAACCATAATTCACCTACGCGTGCGTTTGCTACCATTAAGCCTTTCTGGGAAGTTTGTGGAAGAAAGAATCCCTAGTGGGGTCTGCATTGAAGCTGCTCTAATGTTGACCATTATAAGAGACAAATCTCGAAAGCATATATTATATATATATATATATATATATATATAAGAGACACGTAAGTCTAAAAACCTTATTTTCCCAGCCAAAGAGAATGTATTGGAATGGAAATTAAGGATAATAGCGAAGATGATTTTAAAAACATTTACTAAAAAACTACAGTTTTTGTTTTTATTCTTTTGACTAAAAACGAACTCTCCAAAATTTATATTGAAAAAGAAAAAGAGACACTGAGGGTACATAGTTTGTTTTCTTTCTTAATTAAAAGGTTGTTGATCGTGTTGTTCCATACAGAAACAAATTGCATATATTTTCTTTAGCCAAAAAAAAAAAAAAAAACTGCATTTGTTTTTTATTGAAATTTTCTTAGAATTAACCCTTAAAAATCAATGTGAAATCAATAATAGAAACATGACTCTTATAAAAGCGCGTACTTTTACGCTTTTTTCTCCAATCAAAATTTGGCATTCAGATAATGATCTGGCAATTAACGTGTGTGTTATGTATTTTTGTTGAGCTGAGTTAACGTCTGTTGTGAATTATCTGCTACTTTTTTTATTTATGTTGTGAATTATCTATTATTTATGCCGATATCTCATATTCTCAAATATTATAACTTTTTTTTTAGTTTTATCAAATAACTATTAAAATAAATTGAGATTTAGTGTATTTTACCGATTCAAATTTACTCTCCCTAAAGCTTTTGAGTTTGCTAATATTCTCCTCTACGATCGGTTCAAAATGAAGCAACTACACCAACCACGTAACCCACACGCAATAACCCAGGGGTAATTTCGTAACTACAATCAAAAGATACACGGTCAACGCTATGTTTCTCCACTGTAAGATACGCTGCGCCAACTGTACCGAATTCCTACGTAGCTGCGCATTGGTTTAATAAGACAAACAACCGTGTCAGAACCACGGGACACGTGGGTGACAACCGTTACGAAAGACGTCACCGAAACTGAGGAAATACAAATTGATATGGAAGTCGCGCACGTGACGTGTCCGGTTTCAAAACTAACGGCGTCAACTTTTCCCAAAGAAACAGCCTTTGGCGCAGCTTTAAATAGAAGTCTGAAAGTGTGTATCTATAGTTTCCGTAGAGACTAATGTACCATTCTTCCATAAATTGAATAACTCATTCTCTCTTCTTCTTTCTCTCTCTTAAATCCCCCAATAATTCCCGTGAATCATCAGCTTGATTCTCTCTCTGTATTAATTTCTATTTCTTTTCTTCCAATTAAAGTTGATGGTTGAGAATTTTCTAAGGAAAGGTTCTGGAAATTTCAGATAATTTCAAGCTCCGTTTATTCAGTGAGAAAATTCTTCGCCATTTTTCGGATGTTGAAGATTATTATGTGAGTTTTTTTTTCGGTGTTTTCGGAAATGTGGCCTGAGATTGAGAGAAGTTCCGGCGAGTTTTCATCGGAGGGAGGCGGAGATGCCTCGCCCGAGATGAACCTGTTCGGGAAGTACGAGCTCGGGAAGCTGCTCGGCCGGGGAGCGTTCGCGAAGGTGTACCACGCGCGGAACGTGGGGACGGGGCAGAGCGTGGCGATAAAAGCGGTGAGCAAGCAGAAGGTGGTTAAAGGAGGCTTCGTGGCGCAGGTTAAGCGGGAGATCGCTATCATGCGCCGGCTGAGCCACCCTAACGTGGTGAAGCTCATGGAGGTTCTCGCCACCAAGACGAAGATCTACTTCGTCATGGAGTTTGCCAAAGGCGGCGAGCTCTTCGCCAAGGTCGCGAAAGGACGGTTCAGCGAGGATCTCAGTCGTCGGTACTTCCAGCAGCTGATCTCCGCCGTTGGATACTGCCACTCCCGCGGCGTCTTCCACCGCGATCTGAAGCCGGAGAATCTCCTCCTTGACGAGAATTGGGATCTCAAGGTCTCCGATTTCGGCCTCAGCGCCGTCTCCGATCAGATCCAACCCGACGGACTCCTCCACACGCTTTGCGGAACTCCTGCCTACGTGGCGCCGGAGATTCTCGCCAAGAAAGGCTACGACGGTGCGAAGGTCGATGTATGGACATGTGGCATAATCCTATTCGTCCTCAACGCAGGTTATCTCCCCTTCAACGATCCCAATCTCATGACGATGTACCGGAAAATCTACAAAGGCGAATTCCGTTTCCCGAAATGGACGTCGCCGGAGCTCCGGCGGTTCATCTCCCGCCTCCTCGACATCAATCCCGAGACGAGAATCACCATCGATCAGATCCTCCGAGATCCTTGGTTCCGAAAGGGTTTCAGAGAGAGGAAATTTCGCCCGGAAGAGAATTTTCAAGAGAGTCATAGCGTTGTTAACAGCAAGAGCTTGAACGCGTTCGACATAATCTCGTTTTCGTCCGGTTTCAACCTCTCCGGTTTATTCAGTGAGTGCGGCGTTTCGGAGTCGGAGGAACGTTTCGTGTCGGCCGAAACGGTGGAGGGAATACTTGAGAGAGTCGAGGAGGTGGCGAAAAGCGAGAGCTTGACAGTGACGAAGAAGATTGATTGGCGGGCCAGGGTGGAGGGGCAGAACGGGGATTTCGTTGCGGTCGTCGAGGTTCACCGCTTAACGGATAAACTGGTTCTCGTTGAGGTTAAGCAGAAGGAAAGAGAGCTTGTAACTGGGCTTCAAATTTGGAAAGATAAGCTGAGGCCGAAACTTGACGGTTTAGTTTTTCAACCGGGAAGGCCGTTCTCCGATGACTAAAAAGGGCAAGAGAGCTCGCTACGTGTTATATTATTGTCGTGCATGTAAATTATGATAATTTATTTTTCCGATGATCGGGAAATTAATTTAGACGAATGTTTCCAGATTCTCATATATTATTATTATTATTATTATTTTTTTTTTTGCCTTGAATTATGAATAGTAGTAGTACACTATTAAAAAAAAGAAAAAAAAAAAAAAACAGAGAAAAGAAAGTAGAAGAAGAAGAAGAAAATAGGAATCTCGAATTTAGCTGTAAATGTCGTATATATTGGGTTTTCCATTTCAATATTTCACCGTTTAGCATCTCACTTATTTATAACTCTTTCTTAGTTTCTTTTTAGCTAATTTCCCTTGGTTAGTTATGGTCGTAACTTGTTAGTTATTAATCTCTTACTTTTTTTACACCATAAGTTCTCTTACTTAGCTTGGAGAATTTTATTTTCGTAAATTGGATAATGTTTCTAAACATAATTGATAAAACGGTGCCCACAAGTTCCTTGTTCTCTACATATGTCTGGGGCCCATCACGGACATTATAGATGTACCATCTTGTCTAACGTAATGGGGAGAAAAACCAAATGAAGAAAGTTGATACTAAAACAATAAGTGTATCTATATATACACTACAACAAAAAACTTATTTGCAATGAATAAATGTCTTTTACACGTTATCGTCGGTAATATCATATTTGTGACAACATGTCATCGCAAAAGATTAGACACAAATAATGTATTTGTGACGACAAAGTTTTGAGATGTCGTCGTTAATACATTAGCGACGACTATCATCGCGAATAAGTCATCATGAATGTTCCGTCAAACATGTCGTTGATGATGACGTGTTCATAATTATTTGTGATGATATATGTCGTCACAAAAGTGTTAGATGTCGTCGCTAGTGATTTAAACTATTTACGACGACTTTTTTTAGATTTGTCGTCACAAAAAATGTTTTCTTTTTTTCCCTAATTTTATAGTAATATTAATTAATAATACATAAATTAGAAGAAAAATTAATAATAAAATAAATCAATAAAATTGATATTTACTAATAAAATATTCATATAAAAAGATCAACACAATAATAAAAGATTCCTCCTTTTGTGCTCCTCAAGCACATCCTTTTAGGCGTTGTAGTGTGGGTCACATATATCTCTTGTGTGCAAGCCGACAACACTGCCAAAATATTTAGCATTTTCGCCAATCGCCTTCCACGAACCCGTCTCGTCAAATAAGACAAAAGGCTTCCTATATTTTTGTACTTTCTCCACTATATCTCGACCTAGAGCTACTCCTCGACCAGACCAACGTCGAGATGTTGGCTCGGGAACTGACTGACAATATGTCGGGAGTCTCGTCGGATCAAGTGGAGGCTGTGATCTTCCTGCAGAGCCGGCGCGTGTAGCTATTGGGCCAGACATCGAGACGTTGTGTCGTAAAAAAAAACACTTATGGTTTAAACACCTCCGGCACGGACAACTTGTACAACCGCTTTCATCAACATAGTCTTTGACAATGTTGATAAACGAAGACAACCCTTCCCAATACTCATTAGACAACTGATTTTTCATATGTATCCAACTCTTGTCAATTGGCATCTTGATTATAAAAACAATGACACATCTAATCATACTTTATGTTTTCTTGTGACTATATAATCACGTTCATAAAGAAAGTTTAACATTTCATGTTTCATTTTTATAAGTTTTATCAAATTTTATGAACAAGTTATTTTAATATTGTTAAAATTAATAATGTTTATAATTAATTTTTAATTTTCTTTCTATTAATGTAATTAATTCTTATTAATTAAATTCTTAAAATTAATAGGTTTTAATAAAATTTCAGCATCATAACGACATATTTTTCTTATTATCCAAAAATTCTAACCTACAAAAAAATAACTTTTAAAAGATTTCGGCACACCAAAACTACAAGATGTGCCACCCAGAACAATTATCAAAACTTTTAATTTCAACCTAAATCAAATTATAATCTTAAAATTTCAACAATCTCAATATCAAATTTCAATAATCTCAAAATTCATAATCTAAAATACAATCTATAATCCAAATTTCAAATAATATACTAATTCTAAAATTTATAAATCAAACTTTAAAATTTATAATCCATAATTATACACAATTCAAATAACAAAAAAACTCATACATTTTAAACTAAAAAATACAATAACTATGAAAAAACTTACAAAATTTAAACTCACTGAAACGGGAGCTGAAAATGGTAAGATAAACAGGGGCAAAGGGCGGCGGTGGTGGACTTTGACGGCAAGATTTTGGGAACTTTTGGATGAAAAAACAAATAAAACTTATAATATTGTTGATTTTGAAGAGAATACAAAGAGATTTTGAGAGTTTAGGGTCAGAAAACTAGATAAAACTGGTGAGAGGCCAAGAGAGAGAGAGAGAGAGACAAGTCAATCGGAAAAAATGGAGGAGGAGGCTCTGCTCATGGGCATATAACAGAGTTTTTTGTGACGATAGAAAATAATATTTGCGACGACTAATCGTTGCAAATATAACTTAAAATTATTTGGGATGACAATTATATTATTTACGACGCCACATGTTGTCGCAAATATAACTAAATTATTTAGGGTTTAGAAGGAAGGTTCTGGAATTATTATTTGCGACATCACCTATAATGTCGTCGCAAATAATTTTTGGGGACCCGCCCAATTTTCCCGCCTTTTTTTTTTACTGAGGGAATACAAAATCGCTTTTTGCGACGATACACATTAATGTCTTCACAAAAAAATTGTCACCCGCCAAAATAACCCTTTTTGCTCGGGGAAAAATAAATAAATTAAATTTATTTGCGATGACACATGTCGTCGCAAATAATTAACTATTTACGATGACATGTCGTCGCAAATACTGTTATTTTGGCACTAAAAGTTCACGCCAAAGAAGATCTGCCACCAAGCAAATATTTACGACGACGTGTGAGTTTTTAGCGACGATAATATTTTTCAGTTTTTTTGAAAATATTTGTAACGTGTCGCCGTAAATATTTATTTATTTGCGACAACAACTGTTGTCGCAAATAGCCCAAATTATAGTAGTGTGTGCTCTTCCAGCATCTAATGTTTCATCAAACTTTAGCTCCATAGTAGTACTATAGTACTATTAATGATATGAACCTCGCCAAACGACACGATGAGACCCAACACCAAACCCGGATCACAACCCTAAGATCTTCAAGAAGCAAGATTGTTGAGCCTTAACCCATTGTCTATCAAGACGCGAATCAAGAACTACGAAAGACGAAGAATGCCACACCAAGATTCTCAAGATTCACCCGTTAATCTCGATGATAAGTTCGATTGTTTGAACGCCATAAGAAAAAGTACTTGATAAATTCAAAGTCTTCTCAAGAGCCCAGAAGCGCAATATGTGAAAACCTCTGATATTATTCTTAATTGCCGAAAACGTGTTTTTACAACCTTATTTATATTTGATACATTTTTTTCAACCCTAATGAAAACTGAAACATCTAATTACCTAAGCTTAAGCCCAAACTCGGCAAACCCTACCTAATCTAATCCAAGTCCAATTCGGCCACAATGTTTTCCCCTAGGCCCAATTCGGCCAGCCCTGTCCTATGTAGAAAATAACATTAAAATCCCAATAACAAATTAAAACATAAGTAACAAATATCCCTAACAAGGCTTCTTAATTTGAGCTGGACTTCCCTTGCTAAGCTCTTGCAATTCAACTTGAATCTTCTAGAATTTTAATCATGGTGACTAGGTTCTCTTCATTCTAGTTTGGACTTATGTTGGGCCTCCCTATGTTTGCCATATCTCCAACTTGTTGAACCAGCCCGTTCAATGCTTCCTTGAAGCGTTTAACTCTAAGTCTTGTCACCAGACTACTTGGTAGACTCAATGGATCTCTTAAATGTTGCCCTTGCCCTTGTGCTCCGTAAACCGGTTGTGCCTCTTGTGCTGCACCTATCGTATTAGTTAGTAATTGTAATAGTCAGAGCCTCGTTGCATTATCTACTCGAGAGATTCTTTCTTAATAGTAATAGTAAGGATTATTATTACCAGTATCTCTAAAATTTTGAGGTCATTATCAGTTTGCCCGTTAAACTTTAAAACTCTTGTTTTATCCTATGAATTTTGAATTGTTTCCACTTAATCTCTTCTGTTAGAATTTATGTTAAAAACAGATAAAAAAAAGAGTAATGCAATCATATGCTCGTTCTGTTTTAATATCTGTTAAAAGTAAACGGATAAAAATCTCATGACCACAATCATGAACTCTTTTTTTTCGGATGTGATTTTAATAAAAATTCTTATAAAAGAGCTTAAATGGACTAATTTAAAATTTAGAGATTAGAGTGAGAGTTTTTAAAATAAAAAAAAACAAAAAATTACTTCAAAAGTTAAAAATACCAGTAATAATAATCCTAATAGTAATTATAATTGCAATAATGGTAATAATCAAATCCTTACCGCATTATCTATAGATCATGATCAGATTCTTTCTTAAGTGAATCTACTACTACTCCACGGAACTCTGAAACATAAGAAAGTGGGCAGATCATTGATAAGCAGCTCATCATTGCAGCGTGATCCATGTGAATGAATATTGCAGCTACACATGTGAATACATATATATGCACTTATGTATGTTATATGAATTTATATATCTATAAGTATCTATGTATTTATTTGTTGAACAGGTAAATTGGTTGGTTATGCTTATGCTAGTAATTCATGTACTCGTAGACACCAAAACTTTTTTTTTTTTTGATACTCCAAAACAATATTATTGATGCAATTGCACGAACCGAAATGGCCCCCGACTCCATCGCCCGCTTGTAGCATGAAACTGTCTTATATATATATATATATATATATATATTCCGTAGGGATCCACTAATTTCTTACGCATAAACTAAATAATAATAATAATAATAACCAATATTGTTAATAATCAATATTGTTCCACTCAAAAGTATATCTGTACAGGTTTGTTTTAAAGAACACGAAATGATAAAAAGAGGAAATATTGCATGTGTGTCATTTTCTTTCCGGCCCCCACAATAATCATGTCCAATTGTTATATATATCTTTACGCATAATTGAAAAAAGAAAATATTACAAAAATG